ACGGCGACTTCTTGGCGTGCCATGCACGAAACTGTGGGTAAACCACTAGAAACGCCAACGATGAATAATCAGTGTCTGATGTTATAGGTCAAAAACCGCTCGTACGACCCCTGACATGACCTTTGAGTACAACCTATCAGATCTTCATGTAGTGTAGGCCATCGAAAGTATAAAAAAAACAAATGAAATAGAGATCAGTATTTTAATCAGTTTGAAAATAAACCTAAGAGTATTAAGAAGAATCATTCTATCTCACTGAACAAATCCGCTGCTATTAAAGGCAAGACATGTCAGCCAGATTCTTCATATATATTTCAAAAAAGATTAAACATACATTATGCAAGAGCTAAATCTGCCCTTTGCAGGTCTTTCTTCAGGCCTGAAATGTTATCTAAACTATTAGTTAGACATTTATTAACATGAAAAGACCATAATCAACTCTCGATGGCATCTTATATGTTCGATTTTCATTGGATTTGAATCTGAAATTGCTGTTCAATGTCTGTTGATGATTAAACACAAAAATGGACAATCGAGTCTACAGAGATTTTAAAATAAGGTTTTCTCGGTTTAGAGTGTAGCAATTTGACTGGAATTTTCAGCATATTCTCTTTACATTATCTATTTGTTAACTATTATAGTGAGAACTGCCAGCTCTTTATCTAATCTTCCATAATGTATCTTTAACATACATGTAATATCTACATGTACATGAAATTATATAAAGAGCTCTATGGAGATAGGTCTTGCCTTTTATGAAAAAGATAACACAATTATTATCACTTGTCGAAGGCCATATTAACCTTATCGGGGGGGGAGAGAGATGTTAATGGGGTGGGAGGTAGTGTGTTGTGCAGTGGTAAGATTTGATTTTGTGTAAAAGGGGCCCTATTAAATGCCACCGCCAGCAGTTAAAAAGGGGCCGCCGATTGAGACCCCAGAGAATGTTTTAAAATCTAATCTAGAATCTCTCGGTCATCCAATGGAACTTTTGATCTTGGGAGTCGGAGGATATTCTTTACTTAAAGGGCCAATCCCGATAATATGTTGGAGAATAAAACTGCTTAATTTTGTGTTAAAATCCCTTAAAATCATCTACCAGAGGGCCGAGCAACTAACTCAATATACGTGATACGTTTGCAAACAACTTAAACCTGTCAGTCCTCATCTGGAAATGGAGGCAGGTGTCCCAGGCTGTATTATACAGCTTACGGATAAACCAGACGTTTAGGTGAAATTTACCTTTCGTTATCAAGTACAGCACATGGGTCATTCATTGTATAGACCTCTAAAGGAATGAGAATCGATTATCAGGTCACCCAACGAAAAAATGACCAGAAATCTTAAAATGGTTACGTGTCCGGATAAGCATTTATGACGTTCACGTCCAAACGACTAAATATTGTGAGCTGAATTTTTGAGAAAAGGTAAATACACCATTCCTCTATATTTTGGCGCTTAAATTTCAAACATACTCGAACTTTTATTTTTGAGACTCTGTTCAAATCGGGATAGTCCCTTTAAGTCGAAAAATGCTTTGTGATCTCTGGGCTAGATCTACCCATGTGCCAGTTCACTTTGAAGTAAATTGATGAATATTGAATATCAAAAATATCTAATAAGCTTTGTAGGCCGACACATCAATATAAAGGGTTGAGATTCCATCAATAACTTAATAAAAACATCAAGTAATCTACTAAAAGATAAAAGGAACGTATCCCCTTTAACATTGATACATGTACATGTAAAATGACATATTTATCGATTGAGTTGTAAAATACGATAATACATTGTTTGATATCATTGTTTCTTGTTTGATTAATTATTAAATTAAGTCATTAGTCAAGAATTTATTTGTCAGGTATGATATATTTAATTATGATTCACGAGTCAACTCACTTGAAAATCTTTGTTTGGTTTGAACAATATTTATTCATAAAATATCATATATTACATTACAAGTTATGAATATGATATGAATATGATACAAAAACAAGCTAAAAGCTGATATAAATTTGCTTCATATATCGTTGTGATATTTCAAGAATATGATATGGTTCTTGTTTCATGACGAGGAAAGATCAATTCAATAACGTAAATAAATATAAATAAATAATTAACGGGCCGTTCTAACCACCACACCAAATCCCTAAATGACACAAGTGATACAGTTAATGTTGAGGACTTATTGTTAATTATTTATGAAAGATGTATTCCAGTCAATCGCAAAGATAATTTTCTATGTGTCAAAACGTTTTATTAGTCTTAAATACTCCTGAACTACATGTATTAGATTTATTTTGTAAGGTCACCTTCAGATTTGGTCAAAGGTCATGAGATGTAAACAGGGCTACCCCTAACTCCAACCCTAACTCTTGACCTAGCACTAATCCTTACCCAAACCCTAACCCACAATCTCGTCAACAATCATGTTCCCTAATCTTATTTACATCTCGGTGAACTTGACGAAATCTGAAGGTGGCGTTAAAGATATATTATGCAAGAGCTAAATCTGCCTATTGCAGGTCTTTCTTTTGGGCCTAAAATGTTATCTAAATTATTAATTAGACATTAATTAACCTATCAAGACCATAATCAACTCTCAATGGCTTCAGATACTCAAGTTTTTAACTAGATTAGAACAGTTTGCCATTTAAAATTTTAATTTTAAAATGGGAAATCGAGGCTAAGTCTCGAATATACCAGTGTCCTGGTTACCACAATGCATACATCTTGTCAAAACTACAAACAGTGATAACTTGACTCAGAATAAAGTAATTTAAATGAAATATTCAATATTTTCATAATACATTAATATCTATTTTTTAACTATTATAGTAAGAATGGTCAGCTCTTTATCTAAATCTTACAGAATATATCTTTAAGCAATACATGTAGATCTAGTCCCAAGCGGGTGGAGAGAGAGAGAAATGGAGTTTAACGTCCACTCGACACAAACTAGGTCATTTTGGGACTAACACATGGTTCAATTTTATTTCAATAATTCGCTTGCGCGTAGGGGTCTTTAGCAGTGGGAGGAAACCGGAGGACCCGGAGAAAACCCATGAGGTTAGAGAGACGACCCTTCTCCTTGTCATGTACAACCGGGGAATCGAAACCTCGCCAGTTAACTCAATGACAGACCGTATAATACAGCGCAGAGCGCACGTGCTATCCATTGGGTCATCCAACACCCCCCTCCCCCCCCGAGCGGGTGGACTACTGATCGAGCACTATATATTTGCATAGTAATAATTCGCTATGTACCAGTTTATAAACTCTTACTTAATTTGCTGCTGATTGATATTCAGTCAGCTACATGTAGATAAATCTAGATGATGGAGTGATGTCGGCCAGCTTCAATTTCCATTAGCTTATCATTGACTTGATCAGTATGATATGCATTAAACTATGTGATATGTATACCTTTAATAGGAGATCAGCTGATTGTTAATCAAACATAGGCCAACCATTGACAGATCATTTGACTCAGAAATAATCTTTCTGTATGTATTTAGGTCTCAGTAAGGGGGGGGGGGGGGATGGCCGAATGAGGGCTGTATTATAAAGTCTGTCATTGAGTCAACTGGCATGGTTGTACATGTATGTGACAAGGTGTAGGGTCGGCTGTCCAACCTTGTAGGTTTTCTGCGGGTTCTCCGGTTTTCTCCCAATGTTAAAGACCCCTATTGAAATAAAATTGAACCATGTGTTAGTCCCGAAATGACCTAGTTTGTGTCAAGTGGACATTAAACCCCATTTCTCTCTCACTCCTTAGTAACCACAATTTGTAATGTGCCTGACAGACTGTTAATACCACAGTTAAATATCCACAACCTATAGTCATACAATATATACAATAAACCCTGGTAGACCGGTAAAATATCAACTCATATATAACCACTAACCATGGTATAATATATAATAACTATATGTCTTTCTTAGGAGGTCACTAGTCACTGTTTCTATAGCTGCTATGGCATTAGAGGGGTGGTTGGATGGTGCTATATCATAAGTTCTGTCATTGAGTCAACTGGTATGGTTTCGATTCCCTGGTTGTATGTGACTAGGAGTAGGCTCAACTGGGTTTTCTCAGGGTCCTCCAGTTTCCTCCCACTGCTAAGCCCCCTATGTGCAAGCGAATTATTGAAATTGTACCATATGTTAGTCCTGAAATGACCGATCGCTATGGCATTGTATAATATTAGAAAATAAAAATAAATGTTTTGCATAGCAAAAATAGAGATGCATAATTTATGTTACATGTATATAGTTTTTCTTACAGTAAATATAACAGGGTAATACCAGGCAAACACTTTCTCAAATAAATTCCAAAAATATGAACATTTTAACATACTAATTCAACATCCTAGACGGTAAAAATATGAACATTTTAACATACTAATTCAACATCCTAGACGGTAAAAATATGAACATTTTAACATACTAATTCAACATCCTAGACGGTAAAAATATGAACATTTTAACATACTAATGCAACATCCTAGACGGTAAAAATATGAACATTTTAACATACTAATGCAACATCCTAGAGAGTAAAAATATGAACATTTTAACATACTAATGCAACATCCTAGAGAGTAAAATATGAACATTTTAACATACTAATGCAACATCCTAGACAGTAAAAATATGAACATTTTAACATACTAATGCAACATCTTTAACATACTAATGCAACATCCTGGACGGTAAAAAAAGAAATAGTTAAAAAGAGAGCAATTCATGCTCATTTCATTTTTAAACTGTTTGAAATAATTTGTTGATGAGTTTTTATACGCCCACATTTTGCAATGAAAATGTGGGCGTATTTTGTCTGGCAACTGCTGGTTAGTTTTGCTCTTTAGTTTTTATTACATGAATTTGTAATACAATATCTCTCTGTAATACAAAAATTCTAATTAATTTCTTTTCCTTAATTCAAAAAATGAAAATATTCAAGTTTTTTTTATAATTTCTTTATTTTTTTGTTATTTCAGTATAAATTTTCCAAACAGTAGAAGTCAAGAACTACATTATCAGCAATTTCACTGAATTTCCAGCATTATGACAACTTGTTTAAAGTTCGTTGTCGACCAATCAGAGATGGGTTTAGATATGGCTTTTTTGTGAGGTGGCATTTGATTGGTTCAAGAATGAGGAATTGTTTTGGAATGGGATTTTATGAATGGACATTAAATATCTCAGATGATTAATTTTGTAATCATAGTTTTCCCACTTTCATTCATAATGATGTTTGTCTACTATCATTAAGTGAGAAAACAATTAAGGCAAATGAATGACATAATAATCTAATGTAATTTAATCCTGTTTAACGATTCTTAAAGATCAATTTTAAATGAAACAATTTCGGGTTCGCAAAAAAAAATGCGCAAATAACTGCTGTTTCACTTTAATAATATTGATGTTTAAAACGTAATTTACACCTTCAACATTTTTCTATAGTCGCATTATTAAATTAAAATCCAATTTAACTTGTTTTAAAATGAAATGAAAAATGTTATTTATTTGTGAATTAGTAATGAAATGAGCGAATGAATTTTGTAAATGTTTTAAATTAGTTTAAGATTTATATGACATGACAGAAATCTAACTTACTAATGTAAATTACATATACTTTAAATGAAATCAGTCTCTTTCGGTCATTATAAGTTGATTTATTTAATAATTATGTCAAGTTACTATAAATAGTATAGATAGCAAATAATCTGATTAAAACACAGATCCTATTTCATTTTGTTTTTTATAGTTCAAAATTTCGTTTTACTTGTCTTTACTAAACTAGGATCTGGAAGAGTTGTTATATTACCGGCGTTCTGGTTGATGTGAGGGATTAGCCAATGAAACAGTCTTGTTACGGCAAGTTCTTGGCGTGAGATGCCCGACGAAACTGTGGGTAAAGTTACCCGGTAAACCACTAGAAATGTCAACACTGATTGATTAATCAATGTCTGACGTCATAGGGTCAAAAAACACTTGTATGACCCCTGACACAACCTTCCACTACAACTGGTCAGATCTTCATGTAGTGTAGGCCATCAAAAGTATAAAAAAAAACGAACTGAAATAGATCTGTATTTTAATCAGATTACAACAGTCCTACATTAATGTAACCTACAATGAAATCGGTCACCGTCAGTCATTAGAAATTAATTTATTTAATAATTATGTCAAGTTACTATAAATAGAATAGATAGTATATAAGGATATTTATAACATACATGAAACTGTCAATCTTGTATAAAGTAGGTGTTATCTATAGACATACTGGTACCTATATGTAGTGTTAACTTACAGCTGTCACATCAGATAAACCTGATAAAAATCTAAATGATTACATTTCTAATTACATTTGAACTTTTGTTCCTTTCTGGTGTTTCCATGTCATCAAGCATTCTCGGATGTACATCCACTGGCCTGGAAATAATCATTTTACTTGTTCCTGACATTCTGAACTTGGTGCCAGACATGTAATATAGACAGATATCATCTACACATGGATAAATAACAAATCAGCGCCAGACAAAATCATTGGCACCAGAGGGATTGTGTCTGATAATGTCTGTGACAGGTGTCTTAATTCCCAGCTTGTGTAACATTTATTGGCTTTCTTACCCATGTGTAGATGCCTGCATATATTGACCTCTCTATAGACAAATTGACCTCTACAAGTATGTAGAGAGGTTGACCTCTTTCATTATAGACTGATTTACCTTGTTCTCTACAGACAGGTGTAGACACATTGACCTATGTCTATAGGCAGATTGACCTCTCCGTGTAGACCAATTGACAGCTCTGTAGAGAGGTTAACTTATCTGTAGACAGATTGACCTTTACCTTGTTCTCTACAGACAGGTGTAGACACATTGACCTATGTCTATAGGCAGATTGACCTCTCCGTGTAGACCAATTGACAGCTCTGTAGAGAGGTTAACTTATCTGTAGACAGATTGACCTCTCTGTAGACGAGAATGAAGAACTGAGATTTAAAGGCAACTATACATGGGTGGGTAGACAAGAACTAGAAAATATCACATATACTCACTATTGATCTCTTTAATAAAAACCACAGTGGATGTCACTGGTATTTCTAATTCGATGTCCATATTCCAATTATTAAACTGATGTTTGGGTCCAAATTCAAAAAATGTATAATCTTGAATTACATTTACATGTAGAATCATTTAGATCAGTCGAGCTGAAATATGTTTTAGTCTGAATGCAAACAAGGGAAATATTACAGCAGATTTTAAAATATCTGATGTTTGGAATTGACTCTTGGGTGACACATTTTTGTACTCATTGAATTTTTACTGCAATTTTAATTGGTAGATATTATATTTTAGGGAAATAAATATAAGAAGTTCTTATAAAAGGTAATTTTCTTTTTGTATAAATAAATTTGATGACCCTGGGAGTCAAGTGATTTGTATGTAATTAAAGATACATGTGATTTAATTATTATTAATCAAATACTGTACATATATAATAAACCAATGATTTGTATATATTAAACAATACTCCTCAGTACTTTCATTATTTTTATCATAATATATTCAGATGCCAAAAAATACACATATATAATCATTATAGAAGTAGATTTTACAAATTAAAAACACTTCTGTCGATATACTACTTCTGAATTTATTAAACATATATTATGCCAGAGCTGGGGGGTTGGATGGCCGAATGGTTAGCACGCGCGCATTGTATCATACGGTTTGTCATTGAGTCAACTGGCAGGGTTTCGAATCCCCGGTTGTACGTGACAAGGAGTAGGGTCGCCTGTCCAACCTCGTGGGTTTTCTCCAGGTCTTCCGGTTTCCTCCCACTGCTAAAGACCCCTGTGCGCAAGCGATTATTAAAATAAAAACATATGTTAGTCCCGAAATGACCTAGTTTGTGTCGAGTGGACGTTAAACCCCATTTCTCTCTCTTATGCCAGAGCTAAATCTGCCTATTGCAAGTCTTTCTTTAGGCCTGAAATGTTTTCTAAATTATTAGTTAGACATTAATTAACTTATCCAGGCCATAATCAACTCTCGATGTCATTGGATTTCTCCGATATTAAATAGATTAGAACAGTTCAGCCATATTTTGATTTAAGCTACAAATGGAGGAGTGAGACTTAGCTTCGAACAACCAGTACGGTGGTTGAAATTATTGCACACGTCTTGTCAAACCTTCAAAGGCTAATGTCTTCGCTCGCAATAGAGTAATTTGAATGAAATTGTCAAATTATTCATTTTACATTATCTATTTTCGAACTATTATAGCAAGAATGTGTAGCTCTTTATCTAAATCTTACATAATGTATCTTTAACATGCTACGTTTCGATACATACACAGATATTGTTATCAAGCAAATAATAATCGAAACATAGCATGTTAATAAATTCAGAAGTAGTATATCCATATAAGTGTTTTTAATATACATATATCTTGAATTTATAGCCTACTTTCAGTTGCCATTTAAAAAATTGTTTTCTTTCTTCTAAGTTAAAAACTTAGTGCGACTTCATGCTGTATTTTGGTCAGTGCTCTTTGTTTAATGCTCGACGATATTAAGATTTGTGTAAAATATGTAATTAAAAATTAGGAAACTTACCCTTATATATAGGAAATGTTTATATTTATTTATACGATATTATTAACAGACTAAATTAAAATGGATGCACATGTTGTTGCTGTTAATATGCAGCTATTACACTGTGGGAAGTAGATAGCCAGTATCAAGCATTTTTATTGTCAACATACTTAATTCTTCCTTAATTGATATTTAGTAATTGAACATATTAACACAAGGTACAATTTTATAGATACACAATTACTGAGTTTAAAGGGACAATAACACTCTTGGTGTCTTGACAGCTCCAGAAAATAAAAAATAGCCTTATTCTAAGTACTAGATGTGTTAGTGTCCTACCTGTTGTGTAAATTATCCATTAAATCCTATTTTACTTGTCCAAAGGGTTCAAAAATATTTTTAAATCCAAGTCACATTTGAAAAGCTTTACGTCAGGCTTTCCAAATCATTTAGTTGAATTTTTCCAATTTTTTAAATTAGATGTGTTAAGATGAAATTTGTATCATCAATTAATTGGAATATTGTAAAATAGTACAATTTGTTGACCAGAATAAAGATTGGGACATATTATTCAGTTACAACAAGAGTGGTATTGAGCCTTTAATACTAATAATTGAACAATTACCGAGTTTAATACTAAGCTCTTTATGAGAGTATCGCCATTGAAACATCACTTAGTATTAAATTCGGTAATTGAACATATTAACACACGGTACAATTTTATGGATACACAATTACCGAGTTTAATACCAAGCTCTTTATGAGAGTATTCTCGTTGAAACGTCACTTTGTATCACGGTAAACTTGTACCTTGTGTTAACGAATTTATTGAATCAGAAATATACATGGGAGCAAAAGATGCTGTCTGTCTTGAACTTTCTTATTTCATAGACATAATTTTAACATTGTTAAGAATTTCTTTATTTCATAGAAATAACTTTAAACATGCTTAAATTAGTTTTATGATGGCAAAAATTTTGAAACACTTGAATGAATGTTGGCGGGTAAAATCCCAGTCAACAGAAAGACAAGGAATATGGGCCCTGTTTCTTGAAATCTTAACTAAAGATAAAATTCAATTTTAGTAGATACTTCAATTTTGTTTGACTAAGCACTAAAATCAATCTAATATTTTCCAATCAAATTACTAAAATTTTGATTTTATCTTAGTTAAAATTTCGTGTAACAGGCCCCTGTTTAATAAAAGTCTTAAACCTACCCATCTTACTGCAGCGTTTGAAATTATTTCAATCTGATTAAAATACAGATCTATATTTCGTTTCGTTTTTTTTGATACCTGGTTATTATACGTACTAATCTAATTTCACTGTAACCCGGGTATAATTATTCTGGAGGTCACGGTGGCTAAGTAAGTAAGACGCTGGCTCGCTAGCCTGAAGCAGGGGCGGATCCAGGAATTTTTGCAGGAGGGGGTTTGCCAGGTTCCTGTTAAGGAAATCTGTCATTATCGTCTCTAAATTACATAGGCATACATACAAATTAGGCTTTTTAAAGAGAGAAATCATTTTTATAATGATATAGGAACACATTGTGATTTAATTTCATTGATGCAAGGCATTCAATTTTTTTTATGTAGCTGAGCAGGGTGGGGTATGGACCCCCCAAACCCCCCCTCTGGATCCGCCCCTGCTGAAGGTCGGGTGTTCGATCATTGCATTGGCCGAGAAAGTTCATCCATATTTTCCGGCGTGGTTTCCCCCTTGTCAGTGATGCAGGACAGAGGGCCTGACAAGAACAGCTGTCCAGTTTAAAGCTGACGGATTAATTTTGATAATGAGTGTCCAATTTACAAGTGTTTAATTTCTCAACCACTGTTAAAAAATTAATCATTATACATCAATAATCAATTGGGTTGTTTATTTTTTAACAGTGGTCAAGAAATTAAATACTTGTAAATTGGACACTCATTATCAAAATTAAATGGTTAGCTTTGAACTGGACACAAGTACAAATTAGATGATTTGGGGTGATTTTAAATGATTTTAACAAATTTTTAAACAAAGACTGGATATTGAACGAATATGAAAGAAATTAGTGCTAGATACACAAGATTAAATGATACCCAGGTTACAGTATTTGTTTAGCAGTACATATTACTGTAGATGTCATACACATGGTTATTAATTTTATATGAAATAAATAACAATTTATTTCTCAATGTCATACATATATTCCATTGTACTTTATTCAACTCTTTTTATTTTAAAATTTGCTTGTGTGCATGTACATAGAAGGTGATAATGGACACATTTCTAACATTCTTGCAGCATTGTGCCAAAAATAACCATTCTTTGGATACTCTTAGAAATAGAGACATGTAAATATCGATGTTTTTCTGTAGTTTTTTTATGATCATTTATGTAGATTTACATTCTCTTAGATTGTCTTTGAATTTTCCAACAAGCTTAGCCGCGTTAAGTTTGACACCGGTGTAAATTGTCTCTTACTTTAAGGTGTTAAGCAAGCTTACGACGATTCACAATTCATCTTACATTTTCGTTCGAGCATCTCAAATTTTAAAATGTGAATACATGACTCAAAACTGACTTGTACATTATTAATTTGTTAATTGTTACTCACTGTCCCCTCCCCCCTAACTCCCATTATTAACCCCATTTTAATTCTGCCCCACCCCCACTCGACTTCTTTCTGTCATGTAATCAACTTTTTTAATACAAATTGTGTACTATTTCCCTTCTATTTTTTTATTTGGTCTTACGTCAATAATATAAGATAATTAGTAATAATTTGTATGTTTATATTAATGTATAATAGATTGTATATGATTATAGTATTTAGTGTATATAAATGTGTACAATTCTTCTAATAAATAGTGTTATAGTCACTGATAAATAGTGTTATAGTCACTGATAAATAGTGTTATAGTCACTGATAAATAGTGTTATAGTCACTGATAAATAGTGTTATAGTCACTGATAAATAGTAACACTGATAAATAGTGTTATAGTCACTGATAAATAGTGTTATAGTTACTACGAAATAGTGTTATAGTCACTTCCGGTTTCCTCCCACTGCTAAAGACCCCTACGCGCAAGCAAGTTATTAAAATAGAATAAAAACAATGTTAGTCCCGAAATGACCTAGTCTGTGTTGAGTGGACGTTAAACCAAAATGAAATTAAATGAAATGGGGTTTAACGTCCTACTGTTCTGCTCCTATGCTGGGCTAATGAAGACGGGCACACGCCATACAGTGTGCTATGAGGGAAATTTTGCCCGCCAATGTATGAACCGGTCTTCAGTTTTTCGTCTCATCTGTGGGTCATGAGAAAGGTAGATGAGAATGTTTAAGCACCCAAAGTAATTCTGGTGGGGTGAAGCCCCCCAAAATGTCAGATTATTTGGAGATGCTTATTTAGGCCAGCCCAACCCCTGTGCCTACTGCCTGATTGTATATAGGAGATCCCTTAACCAAAGATGAGCAGAATTGCACATGACGTAAAAATATAACAAATACCATATAAGTCTTAAATTGAAAATAAAAGCCTTCTGTGATGTCAAGACATTGAAAGTGAAATCCATTCATTTCCTTTCTATTTTTATTCTTGTTGCAACACACTGTGAGAAAACTTGTCTAGACTAACTCATGTCGTAGGCTGATGAACTATTAAAATAACTGATGAGCTTTGATGTATAAACGAGTTGTGTCCTACTTGACATGGTGACTATAATGAGAAGATGACTATATATCTCGCGAGTATATAAAAACTAAGTAAATATATGGACAGCTTCAACAACAAATAATGAACAAGGGAAATATAAATATTTATGGTTCTTCCACTTTAAAGGATAAAATGGCCTTTGACTTGAATTAACAAGAGTCATCCAAATAAGAGAGAGAGAGAGAGAAAGAAGGAAAAAAAATTAAACTAATGATTAGCCATGCATGATATAATTTTTATTTTGAAAACACAAGATGATGGAAGAGTAGTAGTTTAGTTGTACTTAAAGAGAGAGGATTCACTCGACACAAACTAGGTCATTTCGGGACTAACACATGGTTCAATTTTTTTATTTCTATAATGTAGGGGTCTTTAGCAGTGGGAGGAAACCGGAGAGGGAGAGAGAAATGGGGTTTAACAGCCACTGGACACAAACTAGGTCATTTCAGGACTAATATATGGTTCAATTTTATTTAAATAATTCGCTTGTGTGTAGGGGTCTTTAGCAGTGGGAGGAAACCGGAGAAAACCCACGAGCTTGAACAGACAACCCTACTCCTTGTCACGTACAACTGGGGAATCGAAACCACGGCTGTTGACTCAATTACAGACCTTATGATACAACGCACACACGCTAACTATTCGGCCGATCTCTCCCCGTCCGATATTAAGAGTAACTATAGCTGTACTGAAGAAAAGATACAACCCTCTTGAAGTGATTTTATCATAGAATTCCACAACTTTGATCATATTTAGATCATTTTCTTTTGTATTCATCTTTTTTCCTGTTGATAATATTCAGGGAAAAAACAAGTTTAAAGCGACCATAATTCAGTTACCAGTTTTAATCGTACCACTGACACAAATTAGGTCATTTCGGGACTAACACATGGTTCAACTTTATTGCAGTATTTCGCATGCACGTAGGGGTCTTTATCAGTGGGAGGACCCGGAGAAAACCCACGAGGTTAAAGATTCAGTGAGCCTGTAGAAGATCATAATATTGTTTATATAATAAGTATGTTTTAACTTCATGCACATACATAACAATATGGCCACTTTAAGTACATCTACCAACCTTGTGGGTCTTCTCCGGGTTCTCCGGTTTCCTCCCACTGATAAAGACCCCAGCATGCAAGTGAATTATTGAAATAAAATTGAACCACGTGTTAGTCCCGAAATGACCTAGTTTGTGTCCAGTGGCTGTTAAACTCCATTTCTCTCTCCCTCTCCGGTTTCCTCCCACTGCTAAAGACCCCTAAATTAGAGAAATAAAAAAATTGAACCATGTGTTAGTCCCGAAATGACCTAGTTTGTGTCGAGTGAATCCTCTCTCTTTAAGTACAACTAAACTACTACTCTTCCATCATCTTGTGTTTTCAAAATAAAAATTATATCATGCATGGCTAATCATTAGTTTAATTTTTTTTTCCTTCTTTTTGTCAGTTCACATTTAAATCTCATTTATCTATAAATCTTGCCAATATTATAGGTAAATAAAAATTATCATTCAATTTTTTTTCCTTCTTTTTGTCAGTTAACATTTAAATTTTATTTATCTAATCTTGCCAATATTATAGGTAAATAAAAATAAAACTCATATCATAAACGGTTAAATCATCTGGATTGTTCTATTTATAGTAACATTTACATTTCATTTATCTAATCTTCAAAATTTCATAACCAAATAAAAATAAAAATCATATCATACACAGCTAATTATAAGTTTGGTCATTTGGGGGGGGGGGAGGGTATTCTATTTGTCAGTTGACATTAAAATTCCATTTATCAAATCATCCAAAAATTTTATTGTTGGAATTGAAATGAAATGAAATGAAATAGGGTTTAACGTCCTACTGTTCTGCTCCTATACTGTGCTAATGAAGACAAGCATATGCCATACAGTGTGCTATGAGGGAAATTTTGCCCAGGCACTATCGCCTATTCTTATATCGAATTCCAACAGCCAAGGGATCTTTTACGTGCATTCCAATGTATACACGGGGCCTCGTTTTTTCATGTCATCCGAAGGACTAGACAGCTGTCCTTGTCAGGCCCACAGTCCTGCGCCAATGACAAGGGGAAACTACGTCGGAAAATCCCGATGAATGTTCTCGGCCAATGCAGGGATAGAACACCCAACCTCCAGGCTAGCGAGCCAGCGTCTTAACCACCTAGCCACTGTGACTCCCCGTTGGAATTGGAAAGTAGATCGGAGTGCTGCTGGCAGGGCAAAATTTCCCCTCATAGAACACTGCCTATCTTTATTAGCCCAGTGTGGGGAGGGTCTAGTGGTATAATCATAATAAATTTTATTTGTACACTCAGTAGGATAAATAAATACATGTATATACAAGTTCCCAATTAATACAGAGTTGATTAATTATTTAATTTAAGTTTATATATTCAGATGGTGAACAATCTCTTAAATCTATGTATTCCCGTATAGCATTTCCTATTCTCTTATCATTTTCCTTGCAGGAACTTCTATCCTGACATTCTATTTTATTTAGAACATGTGAAATCTCAAGATCTGTCATTGAGACAAGTGAAGTGGTATATTGGTTTCAATTCTCCATTTGTATGTGACAAGAAGTAAGGTCGCTTGTCCAACCTTGTGGGTTTTCTCTGGGTCCTCCGGTTTGCTTCCACTGCTAAAGACCCCTACGCGCAAGTGAATTATTGAAATATAATTGAACCGTATGTTAGTCCCGAAATGACCTAGTTTGTGTCGAGTGGACGTTAAGCCACATTTCTCTCTGTTTCTCTCAGATTATGTCCCAGCTTGGATTTAAAACAGGTCTATCAATAAATTTTCGTGGACAACCAAATCCCCCCATGGCCGCGGGTACATCACATATGGCCGCGGCCTTATAAGTTATATTGCATAGCGGGCTATAGATCGATGAAATTTCAATTCCACATCTCTCTCTCTCTATCTATCTCTCTCTTCACTCTTCGATCTCTCTCTCTCTCGGTGGGGGGTTGGATGGCTGAATGGTTAGCGTGCGCGCGCTGTATCATAAAGTCTGTCATTGAGTCGACTGGCGTGGTTTCGAATCCCTGGTTGTACGTGACAAGGAGTAGGGTCGCCTATCCAACCTCGTGGGTTTTCTCCGGGTCCTCCGGTTTCCTCCCACTGCTAAAGACCCCTACGCACAAGCGAATTATTGAAATAAAATTAGAACCATATGTTAGTCCTGAAATGACCTAGTTTATGTCGAGTGGACGTTAAACCCCATTTCTCTCTCTCTCTCTCTCTCTCTCTCTCGGTCTTCATTAGCCCAATCCGAGGCAGAACAGTGGGACCTTATAAACCTTTCTCTCTCTCTCTCTCTCTCTCTCTCAACAGCAGAAAAGCAGAGCACCATTTCATATCATCTCATCCTAATATTTAGAGTAAATACTCTTCCATTGTTCTAATAATATAATGATAAGATAAATTCTAATTATTCATCAGACGTGTTACGTCTGGCTGGTTAATCAGGCATGTCTGAATTCAGTGAAGTGAGTCATAACATGACAAACCAGACAGGACACATGCAGACAACAATATGGCCTGCTGCTTCTGGTATCAGTTCAATTTTATATTCATGACATTTTACTAAACATTGATTATCTTGTTAATTATCAGTAACGCACAGTACTTAAAGCTGATGATAGACATTTGAGGATTTTTAATCCGTGTAAATACAATATTGTGAGTGTAGAATGTCTAAAAAAAATATCATCAATCAAACATGTTTTAATTTTATATAGTATTTATAATGACCACATCGAAACCACAATAAATCGCTGAATTGTGCTAGCACTCATTATAAAAATCTTAAGATATCTGTTTGATACAGATCTGCTTGTGAATAGAAATCCTTAATTTGTAGGAAATTTTATTTCTCAATAACTCATTTTTATCCTTGATTTTTCTCAAAATCTGATATTGGAATTCTCTTAATTAGGCCTGGTCGTATTTAGCGACATCTTGGCCAACGAACACGATATGGAGCTGGGAATGGTACCAGAATGGAAGCTTGGAACTCAAGGAATGTGATTATGTCCATAACTCAGTATGGCCAAATTGCTGTTTATTACCCATTTCGATGTGATGGGTCACACTTTGCAACATTTCACATCCTAATCAGACCATATAAACAAGCCAGTTCCACCTGTAAGT